GGGGGGGGGCGTTCGGTGGTCTGAAATGGATGGTGGTTTTGTGTGTGTATATGTTGGGATGCCTCTATGTGGTGGAGAGTATGTTTTCTTTAGCGTTGGACCACGTTTACACCATTTCAGAGTGCCCCCCCCCCCCTGCAGAAACACAATGTGACAGGCACAGATTGGTCAGACGGATGCGGGACAGCGGCCGGGGGTTGAGCTGCTCCGGGCTGCTCGGTCCGCCCTTACCTCTGTCACCTTTGGCTGCAGCACCAAAGACTCAGGACTCATCCTAGGAATGTCTATTTGGATCTGACAGCAACATGGGAGAGAAAGGGGTTAAGACACTCACACACATTAATACTCATGGAAACCAATGTAGAAGTCCCCTTTTGTTTAATATTTCATCGTTCTTTGGCATCTGTAAGATATCCTGAGGTGAGTGGCTACAGCTTTCATTGTTTTGGATTGTTGAAATAACAACAAACTTTTTTTTTGTTGGAATAAAGCAAGCATATTTGTCCACCACCAAGTTGATGAGTGTTAACAACTTGAAAAATATCCCTTTATATTACATTTAGAAGAGATAAAAAAATATGTGGTTCATTCGCGATTAATTGTGAGTTAACTATGGGAAAATCAGTCTTACTGTGCACATGTTTGCACTTTATTTACACTTTGTGGGGGATTCACCAGAGTCTCTGTAATGTTTATGCTAATCATCCAACTGGGAATCAAACTGTGTGCAGCTTCCAGCAGCATTCTGCCAATTGCTTTGATTTCCTGGTCTATATTGTTCAAACTACCCTAAATATAAAAGTAGGCAGCTACTGCCAGTTTACAAGATCACACAGGCTACCAGTAGAAAAGCATGAAATGGCACAAGGATAAAATAACAGTTAAGTTTGTTAAGATAAGTAAATGTGGAGCTAACATACGACAGGTGGCGAGTAAGTAAATGTGTGTGTTTAGGGAATATGTCTGCCCCCTAGTGGTGAAACATGCTTGATAAAGTCGAATTAAATCAGTTGTTTCAAACACACAGATGTAGCCTAAAAAAAAGAACAAAGCTAGGTTTGCTGAGATTCTCTTGGGATGAAACAAAACCACAGCGGTACTTCAAACAGCTGGGACTTCTACAACGGCTACATCCATATTTATGTGTAAACCCATACACACGAGCCATTTGGGCAAGTCACCAACAACGTAAACAAATATACAAAAGGAACAGATGGACAGACACGAGAGGAGACACTAATTACTGAGACACATTGACACTGGATATTGGATCGTCTATCCTGTGAGCAAAAACACACAAACACAATACATATAGCTTCATGTAATGCATACAAGTATATCTACAGTCACAAAAAACTACAGTCATGTGCTATTTTTGTTATGTTTTAACTTAAAATCACCGCTCATTCACCAGCAGTGCTGTTTTTAGTAGGAAGAGGCAGAATTTGGCTAGAAATGAGACATCAAGACAAAATTGGACAGAATATGAGAAATGTGTGTTTTTGCTATCAACAGCCCACTTTGATGTTTCTTATCAGCCTGGAATGAATGGGAAATAGTGGAGTGTTCAAATGAAAGAGAATGTCGGGGGAGGAGAGGGAAAGAGTTTTCAGAGCCAAAAGAAAAGTGTTCATTTAGAAGCAGCTCTCTCTGAAGCTCGCGGCTGGTTGTCCCTACCCTGTGAACAGAGCTCGACCACACACATGTTAACACAAACAGACACACAACAGTCCAATGAGTACATGAGGGAGAAAGAGGAATTGGTTCCAGTAATCGTGTCTGCGGGGCTGAAATCCTGCCAAAACACACTCTCTCTTACACACACACACAAACAGGCAACCATGTTCTGGCATCGAGCAGAGGGAATACATCAGTGACAGGAAGTTGTTATTTTAATTTAAAAAGGAACCTCTTGTAGTTTGCTTTCATTGCGTCCATCGAGTTGTAGGATTCAGACAGGTATTAAAAAGTCACATGTAAAAATAATGATTAAACAGGATCAGTGTGTGTGTGTGTGTGTGTGTGTGTGTGTGTGTGTGTGTGTGTGTGTGTGTGTGTGTGTGTGTGTTTACCTGTCTGTACGTGTCCTGATGGTGTTCGTCATTGCGCGAGTCGTAGTACTGCTGGATGAAGCCGAAGTATTCTTGTCTCTTTCTCTGTAGGACGCTCTCTCTTCTCTCTGCGTTGGCTGGTAGGTAACCCTAAACAAGAGAAGAGACAAAGAAATGTAAATAAAAAATGTGGTAAATATAGCTGTTCACCCGACTATAATAAATATTCATGGGCTCGGGGCTGATGGTATATGATTAGGAACAAGATGGAGATGTTATTTTAACACCTTTTGTAAATATATGATGTGTTAATTGGTGAGCTGCAGGAGTGCTGGCAGGTGGATTTTGTTATCTTTGGAAAGAGCCATTTCCCCCCCCGTTCACAGTATTTAGGCTAATATAATCGCCTCCTGTTAGATTTAAATGATATAAGCGAGAGTGGTATTGATTTTCCCGTCCAACCGTCAGGAACAAAACAAGCACATTTCCCAAAGTGTAGTATTTCACATTTACAATATCCTTAAATCTAATTTATTTCAAACTGCAAGGGTCTACCTAAATGTAAGGATAAACTGAAATTGTCTGAGAGGCCATTTTGTTTTTTAATATATACTATACATAAATTGCCGTGGCTAAACTTTGTATGAAACTATGAAAAAAACTAAAACTAACTATTCGTAACGCTCAATCGAGGATTTATCTAAATGTAAGGTAAAGAAAAATACAATGCAAAGCCAAAAAAGAAATTGCTCTAACAAAGAGTGGGATTATATGGAATAATAAAAAGATAGTTAGTCATTTGAAATGTTGAAGGGATCCTATTAACTCTTGACTTGACATTTCATCATACTGTTGTGTCCTTCATGTGTATCTTTTGCCTTTATTAAATAACAAATACTACTACTTCTTCTACTACTACAGGCGCATACAAACTTAACTCATAATACTAGTCTCCAAACTAATATACCTGTCTGTTTGTGACAGGCATGCTCACGGTCACGCTTGTGGCTTCCACGTGGGACTCATTCCTTCCGCTCCACAGATATTCAGTAAAACCGCCTGCTCACTGCCTCAAAGTGCATTTCATGTTGTGCGACTCTCCTAATTATTTACTACATGATGAGCCTTTTATTTCCAAACTCTTGTTTTAAACCTTGACTTATTTAGAGTCTGTTGGCCAAGTCAAATGACAGAGCCACCTGGGATTACACTAAATGACACACTTAGACTTTGTGGGGAAAACCTTCTGCTGCTTGACAAAATGCTTTCCGCCTCTTAGGGGAACTACCTTTTTATGAGTGTGTGTGAAAATGCTTCTGGGAATGTGTTAACGCGGGCATTCATTTCTGAAAGTGTGTCTCCTCTTTGTGCAGCCGGGCTTATGCAATGAGGAGAAAGTCAACTCTAAACTAAACAACACATTTAAAGTGTATTAAAAGCGAGAGCTGGGGCCAGGGGCTCTGAAATATTCACACACTTGAAGACAGAACTCAAAAAAGACTGCTGCTGGCTTTTTTGTTTAAAACACTCAACTTGAGATAAAAAGCTGGAATTAGTAGTCCTTAAACCTAAAAATGTCCTTTTTAGTTAACACATTTTCTATGTTGCCTTTTGTGCATTTGGCTGAGTGAGTTAACACAAGTACCGTTATGGTGATTACATACAAAGAGGGTTACAAAGTAATCATGTTCTACAATAGCCTTACAAATTAAATGGTATTTAATTTGTAAGGCTATTAAATGGTATTTAATTTG